ACATAATATGTCATAAGAATTACCCATTTGTCTGCTGAGGTAGCGTACTGTCGATGTACACTTTCAATTCCTTGGAGTCAGGTCTGTGGTAATCAGGGCCCTTTTCGAAATTCCCAAAGCATTCATAAGTGCTGGCAAGATTTTTACATATGGTTCAATGCCTTCTAGAACCTTCCAGTCACGATATATTTTACCTACTGAATTAAACATTGTCAAGGTGTAGCTTCTAAATTGTAGCACACCTAGCATCCAGTGGGCCTTGTTTGTGGACAGCATTGGCATGAACACATGGTCAACATCAGCCCAAGGTGTGCTTAAAGGTAGGTTGTGACCAGTTATGACATTAACAAGGCTCAACTCCGATATCAGAACCTGGGGATCCTTCATAAAAGCAGGGTATATGTCTTTTATTTTATGCTGAAACCAAGAATTTGTTGTTGTGGTTCTAAAATTTACATTCTTGCCGTGTTTTGCAAGCTGGCGAATGTAGTAGAAGCACGCATCCATGTGCTATAATAAAAGGAAACAATGACATTAAAGAAAAGGAAAGTCTGTGAAAATGTGACCAACATGTGAATATGTGACCAATATATGAAAGTATGACCAACAATGATATGTAAGTGAAGAAGTTAAAATATGTGGCCACTCTGTGAATATGTGAGAGCATAATGTGGTTTTATTGTACCGTGCTACTCAAAGACGATTCTGTGTGTATAAGATTGTAGAACCATGACTTGTGATCAACTGGGAATGAACCGATGACGAATGCAGGTTTGATTTTGTCGTCCTCATCGTTAAACTTTTTCCTGCAAACATGAAATTGAATAATGAGTGTTGCGCTACCATGAATTGTTAAGTTACATTCTCAGATATATACAAATTGCACGTACTTATTTTTGGGTTTGAAACCCCTCTGGAACCAACTTATAAACGTAGATCTGTCAACTTCTTCAATGTTGCCTTTGAAATACTCAAAAACTATGACATGATCATCATGTTTGAGCAATTTACCTTCTCCAACAACGAATGGAGATTGCAGTATCCTTGCGGGCCTCGAAACCCGTTTGACTGGTAATTCAGAACGACCATCAGGAGACGTGGATCCCTATATATTATTGTAAAAGCTTGTTGAGTTTCACATCAGACATAGAAACTACATGTGAATAAGTTTTGAATGATCTGTGACCTGTTAAATTTTTTTATTATGGCGCGTAGTTGACCCGTGACAAGTACAGAATGAATAATGGCTTTGTGAATACCTCTACCTGAACACTTTGGTCGCCGTCAACACGTCAGATATAATGGAATCTACCTGTTTCTGAACGTCATCGGGTTGTGTATATCCGATCCCCAAATCGAACGATGGTGGTTGAAGACTATAGGGAATACTAATGTCTTCACTTGGGTCTATCTTACCTTTCTCTTTCCTGTCAACATTTGGCTGCACTGTTTGTACCTGTATCTTGGAGAAGAAGAATATTTGGCATGTCAATGTGACCATAGTGTGTATAATGAAATGTGTAAATATCATGTAAGTACCTAGTCGGTCTTATCAGAGCCTCTAGCAATATGAGTTCCCTTGTCTCCAATTCCGTGAACTTCTGTGCCTCGATCTTTTGCTTTTTCACTAAACCGTCTCATGATCTCTTCCATTGAACTGGATATCATTGCTGACACAGTTTCGGACAGAAACGACATGTTAGTTCGAATCTCCATCAAATCAGTTTTTAAGACACCTTGCATTTGGATAATGGAGTTCATTTTTGTTGAGTGCACATCATTGAAGCATGACATCTGTGACTTGATGTCAGCGAGCTCCCTATTCAACAATTTATTGTCCGACTGTAGTTTGCATCCTCAAATCATCATATGCCTGACATAACATCATAACAACACAAGTGTGACCAGCTGTATGGAAAAAAAAGGTTATATGTGACTTAGGAAAATATGTTCTGTGATGAAAATATGGTGGATATGTGACCTTCATCGCAGTGATCTGTGACCAATGATTTCAAAAAGGTAATGTGACTTAAGACATTGATCTGGGTTCGCTGATTTCAAAAAAAATACTTACATCAACCTATTGCGGCCTGTAAGGGTGTGGTTCATCTAGAGAGTTATGGGCAGCTGACGGTGCTTCATCAATTGGAGATTTTTTCACGGGGTGGGGAGGAGTGAATCTTGACGTCGTGGTGGAGGATCAACAAAATTATCATCGTCGTTCGATACATTAGGCTATCCCATACTGCTATCCGTTAAGAGCATCACTGACTTTCCACTAGCACTAGCATTACCGGCTGATTTCTTTGTCCTTTTTTTTCCTGTGGCTCTCACTTAACAAGTCTGGTTGAATCGGCTTTTGGTACTGGACATTGTTCATATATGACATGGCCATTTCCATTTTCGATGGTTCCAGATCACAAAAGTGTATATTAGTAAAAGTGTAATCATAACAGTTCACTATACTGGTAACAAAGCTTACTGATATATTACATCAACATTTGCGAAACAGTCAGCTCCTTCCAACTTAGCAGCAGAAGGTTGTTCATCTGCCATACAATTCATGATTCAGGGATGTGTCTTCGATGTTCGTGTGACAACAATTCCATCTAGACTTAGAAAAGTCTCATAAATGAAAAGTCTCATAAATCCATACTTAAAAAGCTACCAACATACATCGTAGCCTGTAATGTGGAGTTCTCCTACTTAACCCATCTTTCAGTGAACCCAAGGTAATGTCAAATAATAATTTTGCCCCATGGGAATCTGTTCATTGCATCGAAGTCCTCAACTAGGGCAAACAAGTAGTTGTCAACAACTTTCTTATAATCTCTAGGAAAGAGATAGGCAGTGAGAAAATACAATGCACCCATCCTAGCAACGTCATCATCCGGTAGAGTTTCGACAAGATCCAAGTCCGACATTTGACACGCAGAGAAGAATGTGGATTTGATGTCTTTATGTGTTACATTATCCACTTGAGAAAAGTATTTTCCCTTCAGTTTTGATGTTCTACTGTCATACATTTGTGTATCACACTGTCCATGATATCTCAGGCCTGTGACTAAACAGAACTCGGAGATGGAGAACCTCACATACCTTCCAGCCACAAAAAACCACATTTCTTCGTTGTTCGGCTGATGAACCTGTCTCAGAAAAAAGAAGTGAATTAGTTGTGGTTGTATCGTGATCTCATCACACTCTAGAACATGAGCAAAACAGGTTCCCATCAATATACGTTTCTGTGGTCGGCTTAAGCTCGTCTGAATAGTATTCAAGACACCTTTACATACTGAGGTTGTAATTTTCCCAAGAAACCACTTGTCTTCTGGTATTATGAATTCCCAGAACTATATTGAAATTGCAGACAATGTTAAATACTTGTACTGAAAGAAATCACACACATATGATATGCTACAACACAAAGATATTCAATTAATAACATGCTCTGCCTAACAGGTCACATATGCATACACATGTACACTCGAGTCAGCAAGTTGAATAGGGTCACAGATCTTCATTGTTAGAACAGTTAAGTCACATATTTAGTCAGCTCAGGTCACAGATCTATTTTTTGTTAGTACTTCCAATGCACATACATTCGAGTCAGGTCACAGGTCACATTGTTAGTACCTTTGACTCCGCCCAATGTTTAAGACATCAAAATTAAAAGCACAAATTCAATCACATACACATGTCGCATTGTCACATCACAGGTTAGTTTTTAATAAAATGAATAAGGTCACAGATTAGATCAATTCATTGTTAGCACCTCCGAGTCACATACACTGAGCTTAGGTCACAGATCATCTACAATGGTCAGTAAATTGAATAGGGTCACAGATCTTCATTGTTAGAACAGTCAAGTCACATATTCAGTCAGCTCAGGTCACGGATCTATTCTTTGTTAGTACTTCCATTACAAATACATTTGAGTCAGGTCATAGATCACATTGTTAGTACCTTTGACTCCACCCAACATATAAGACATCAAAATTAAAAGCACAAATTCAATCTCATACACACGCCACATTGTCACATCACAGATTAGTTTTCAATAAAATGAATAAGGTCACAGATTAGATCAATTCATCGTTAGCACCTCCGAGTCACATACACCGAGCCTAGGTCACAGATCATCTACCATGGTCACATACACTGAGCTCGGGTCATGAAGGAATTTCCATACACATAATCTTTACACCCAAAACCCTAGGTCATGCCAAATACCGAAATTACTTCAACTGACTACATTTCACAAAATGTTCAAATATCCAGTATGTTTTTTCATTGTTCAATAAAAAAAATAAAAAAAATTGAGGAAATAACCTTGTTTGATCGTCTTTTCGCTCGATCACAGAGACCGAATGCGTTGGGGTTTCCATTGCGCTGTCCTGTGACCTCCTTTTGCTTCTTCTTCTTCTTGTTGTGTCTTTGAGATTAATAACCTCTTCTGCACCCTTAGATTTCTCCATTAGATTGCATTTTATTAGTATAGCTAAAGGGATGTACTCCACACAGTGATTTTTGCACAAATTGAATTCGACAATGGTGAGATTTTAGGGTAACTAAATGGCGAATCTGGACTCTGGATGGATGAGTTCGAACGAGCGAGCGTTTGGAGATGCCGGAAAATCATGGGAGAACAAAGAGAGGGTTTGGAGATTACGTGAAATCATGGGGGCAGAGAGAGAGAGAGGATGATTGATATGATAGTTAAGAAAATTGTAATTTGAATTACGATAATTAAGGAAACGCGTCATTAGTTAATATACACATCTACTAATTATTAAATAATAAAAACAAATATTTCACATTTAGTAATTACATAAAACCCTGACATGTGTATAAAAAAGTTCTCCAGCTGATATTTGCATCCCAATCTTTATACACTTGGGACGGTGTAATTTCCACATAATCAAATTAACTAATCTTTTAGGGTACTGGACCTAATTTGTCCTAATTTTAACCCCAAGCCCAGCAATATTAAACTCTTTAACATTGAATATAAAGCCCACATTGTAGTTCCCTTCCCCACATTCTCAAACCCTGCGAACTCGTTGCGGGAGTGCTGCTGTGATTCCAAATTCCAGTATGGCTGACTCACCATATTTTAAAGAGGAAGAAGAAGAAGAACAGATTGAAGAAGCTAAATTTGGTAATCAATCTCTCTTTCTTAATCTTATTATTTATGTTTTGATAGTTAATTATGCAAATAGCAAGATTAGATATGGTGGTTGGATTCAAAAACTGCGTGAATGTTTTTGATTGCTGTAGGCTATAGCATTCCACACTATAATTTAAATTTTAAGCGCTTGAGTCCTTCCTTGTTTGTCATTATCTTTGATTCTTTTTTATGTTGATGATTGATGGTTTGAAAAAAGAATGATAGATTTATTTTCGTTGGATCAAAAAAGGTCAGTTTCTTGTCACATTTGAATTTTATTTTTTTTTTTTGAATTTTTGATCTCTCAAGAACTAATTTTTTTAGTTATTTATTTTGATTTTGATTTCAGTTGAACGAAGCACTGAAGTAGACTTTCCAGGTTTCCCATTTTTACTTCTATGCTGTACTTTTATTGAATGAAGAAAAAAGGAATTGATCCTTTCGAATTTTAGTTTGATCCAAGTGCTTCAAGTGATTGTTGACTTGGGTTTATACTTGTAAAAGTCTCAGTAGTTGTTTCTTATCGTACTTGTAAAAGTCTCAGTACTTTCCACTATTTATGCAAGCTTTGTTTGATTTGTTGGAAGGAGGGTCGGATATGGTCCGATTCGATTCAGTTCTTGTTAGAATCAAAAGGACTGGAAATTTTTGGGTATTTAATAAGTGAAAGCGTCGGGTTCAAATTTAATTATGGAACCATTTGGGTATGGTTTCATTCGGTTCGGTTTGGTTAGGTTCCGATATTTCGTATTATAATTAAAATTTTTAATATTTGCAAAGTTATATTAATTCAATTTAATGATATGTTCAATTTTAGCTCTTATAAACTAGCGTACTCCAATTTTATGTTTTTTTTTGTATCTCTCTTTACTGAATTCTTCATAGATTTGATTATTAAAATCACAAGAAAATAAAGATAACGAGCTCGAAATAATTAAAAGAGAAGTTGTAGAGCTTTAATTTGATTTTTTCCAGTAGAAACAACGCTATAGTAGAGTAACATGTTTGGATAAAATTGAGGTCAATTTGATTAAATTAGCTTTGAACTGAAAATTAGAAATAGAAAAATCATGTTTTTTGGTTTGAACTAAATTAACTAGTTAACAAATTTATTTAGAAAAAATAAAATAATTTCTTATTTAAAATTAATTAATTAAAAAATTAGGGAGATTCGATTTTTATTCGGTTCTTTGAGTCTTGATTTAGAATCGAGAATCGAACCGTACCTGTCGGTTCTCGATTCAAAGACTCGTTCGAGTATTTAAATTTGAGAAGAATCGTCGGGTTGAGTTCACTTCGATTGGTTCGGTTCGGGAGTTTTGTCCAATCCTAGTCGAAAGATATGTTGAGATATATTAAACGGCTTGAATATTATCGTATTTGTCTAATTTGAAATTATTTTTTATTACTTAATTCTATCTCGCCCACACTTTCTTGAATCGACTTTGTTTGGTAAAAAATAAGCAATGGGTAATGAAGTTACGAAATTTATATAGAACACAATTCTTGTTTAAGATAAGATGGACAATGTTGGTATAGTTGATACATATAAATTCGATGACAAGTCATGTTTATATGGTTGAATGAGGAGGCGAACTTATTTATGCTTTTCAAATTTCATGTTGCCATGTACTTTGTAATAAATTTAGTTATTATATTTGTTTATCATGTTGACTTGTAATATATATGATTATATTCAAAGCAATGAAAATTCGAAATATTTTCTTCACCAATCCAAACGTTAGATGTGATATGATAAAATTGGAGAGCTGTTATTTTCATTCACTATTTTTATATATCAATCTTAAATTAAATCTATCCCTTTTAAAATTTTAAAAAATATATATTATATTCTCTCACATTACATTCCAAAATCCTGGGGGTAGTTCAGTGCCCAAACTTTGGGTTTGCTCCTCAATGGTCACTAATTCGAGTTCCCTCAAGACCATTAAGGTGAGTACCCTGCTGTAAATTTCAGGGCTCCATGAGATTAGTCAAGGTGCACGTAAACTAATCCGAACACCCACGATCATAAAAAGAAAAACATTACATTCCAACATTATCCTTATTAAATTCATTCATTTAAAAAATATATATTCACACCACTTACCTTCTAATCGTAGAGATATGATACTATCTTGTTTGCAATGTAAACCAATAGATATGGAGGAACTGCAAAGTTCCAAGCATCTTGTCCGAGAATACTACACATCCTTAACACAATACATATGATTTTTGTCGATGTATAGTTAAACTTTCCAAAGTTCTTCGACAAACATGCCTTGTCTTCACAAGCAAATTAAAACAATTAAATAAAACAAAAATATACATAGTAATGATAAAAATGTGAACAAAACCACTTATCTAGGCTTAAAAACAGGGAAGTGAAGAGACGGACTACAAAAGACGAGAGGGTGTTTTTTTTTTTTTCAATTTTTCAAATTGTTCAATCATGCATCGACAGATGTTCCATCTAGATTTAGGCCTGGATTTGAGTTTGGATGTATAACATGATTGTAAAAATGTCTGCCTTGTTGTAGGACGATAACCTAAATTTTAGTTTTAATTTCCAGCATCAAATGAACCAAAAATCTCTTCCAATGATGTCTCTTTCTTGTTTTGACTTTAGTTGAGGATGTTTAATGAATATTATGGTTTCACTTATGCGTAAGGTCTAAAAGAACACAAAATGTTTAATGAGAATAAATATTAGTGGATGAATTTTGATCGATAAATTTATTTTAGTTTTACTCTTGTTTATTTAAGTAAATTTACAGTGTAATATATATAAATTTTAAAAACTGATAGCTTTACAAGAATTGTTGATGAAAACAATGACTCCCTAAAATTAATTTATAATGTTAGTCAACCAAGGAGCTCGTGTGATAGAAATTAATTAAAAAGTACAGTGATGGCTCGAGGTTAGGTGCAAGTGGAGAGTGGGCTCGTACACTATTGTGCTAGTGTGGTCCAACGCCGGGGTTCGAGGTCGCCAAAAAGTGGTCCACGCCGTGGTTGTAGTTAGCCCTTTTCCAGTGGGAGTAGGTGGCTCATAGTTCATTTTGGTTAACGTTTCTCATATAATGGTGACACTAGACACTAAAGTCCAAATGCCATGTGCTAGAGTGGAGATGTCTGAGTTGAGTAATGGTGTTGCTCGAGGCAAAATTGAAATGCTCGATTTTCTCAAAATGATCTACCTATATGTTAAAGACACCTAAATTTTGTCCGGGTCGTGTCAAGTTACACTTTGTCACATATTTTAAAGACGCATCTCAAACCATACGTCTTGAGGTTGGATTGAAACGAATCCAAACTAACCGAATGCATCATTACTTAAATCACAACAATGGAGAGATCCCATGCTTTCAAAACATTCTGGTTATATGTTTGGATTGTCTTAAGATGGTTTAGGTTGAATAAAATCGAGAGCAATCTATAGACGTTCATTTGAAATTTCAATATTGTAGGTGATCCAAAGCATTCACCAAAAAATAGAAAATAAATAAAAAATAAAATAAAATAAAATTTAGTGAAAGTGATTAACACTAGAATCACTGTCATATTGTTCAATAAAGTATAATGTATTTTTATGCAGTGAACAACGTGACAATGAATAATGCCACAAACTGGTACATTATTCTTCAAACTGGTTCGCTTTGAAACAAGGAACATTGTGGATGGTTTTAAATACTAGAAACATTGTATTTTGATATTTAGCTGGTTGAGACGAACAATAATGACATATTTGATAGTCTAGAGTTACCAACATTAAACACGATTAAGGTAGACAAAGAAGTTAATCTGTAAATCGTGGTCCAACAATGCGTACCAAATATACCATAAATGAAAACACATTTATAATGCCTGGATAAAGAGTATAAGATCCACAATAATGGAGATACCCTTCATATCAATATCTTTACACAAATTTTCCGCTGGATAAGCATTTTCGAATGATAAAGTACTCCTAAGAAGCTTTCCTTTTCTAAACACACAACACGACAATTCCACAAGCTGATTTTAACTCAAGTTAGCCCAGTCATAGCAAAAAATTATCCTAATGATGAATTGTTAAGCACAACATAAAGATAAATGCAAGCTATATTTGCCCAGTTCTTCATCTAATACTGTGACACAATAACAAGCAAAGAAAACATTGAATGAACAATAGCAAACCTACATTTCACAGATTCCTCAAAGTACTTCCTGAAATAAGCTTCAACGTGAAATATCATCAAAACCTGATGCATATATTTGCCAATGAACTCAAGTTTGATGCTGTAAGAGAACCTGTAAGAAGCATAACATCTCCAGTAACTTTTGGTCCCAGCTGACATGTTAGAAACAAATGAAATACAATGAATTAGTCCCAGGATATAGCCAGACATGAGTTTGTGTGAGCGCTATTACTTTCGTTTCTTTCACCTTTTGAGCTGACATGGTAGCATTGGACATGTAACAAACATCTTGTCATGTCCCTTTCTCTTTAAAATCTTACATGCCAAGGACATAACACCAATACATCGGAAAGAGAAAGCCTCATTTTGTAATATTTGACACGAAAATTTTTTAGGGCAAACCTAAAATTTTTTGACAAAATAAAATTAGGATCAACTGTTAATCCTCCAGAATCAAGGGAGAAGGGGAGAAAGATAAACAAGTGAAACGGGTTAAGAATCTGGAGACTTCAGGATTATGGAAATCTGAGTGTGGGTCACTTATTTAATTTTTATACGGGCTAATTATCAATGATTTTTATTGCGCAAAGTTATTTGTAGAAATAACTTGTCTGCTCTCCAGTTTCTGTTACACAGATCATAAAAATTCATTCCCTTGATATTTCACGTTAATACAAACAAGTAATGAAAAGTATCAATGCCAGTCTGGTCCAGGTAAAATTCTCTTAACAACAAATATCACCCCAGTTCTCCTTTGCTCTTCAAATCCAATATACTTAATTAGCATGTCCATGTTTTACCTTTTGAAAGCTAACGTGTTACATATCCAGATCATGTTCATGTATGTGCTTCAGAAGTTACGAACAAATGAAGAGGAACCTTTGCACATGCGATGCCACCAACATATCCAAACATTAACAGGAATTGATCTCATACATCTCATTTGGTTCCGCGCAATATTTTTTCTTGCTGAGGAGAAACTTTATTCTTTTTACTTTTCTTATTTTATGTTTCTTACTTTCTTTACTTTCTATTTTTTTTTTCTAACAATCAATAAGAGAGGAAAGGACTCTTCATGGTACTAGCCTCAGCACTCACAACATCTTGATGAAGATTGAGTCTTGATCATTAATTTTATTTATTATCTTTAATTTTAATCTTTATCTAGATTTAATCTTAATGAATATTGAGTCTTCATCATTAATTTTAATCATTATTTTTAATTTTAGTGTGTATTTGAGCCACATTATTTTTTAAGAATTTATATTGGAATGTTAGATTGATGGATAATATGTGGTTAAAAAATAAGAAAAAGTTTTGAATTTGCGTGTAATATTATTTTATTGGAGAATATGTGGTTAAAATGATGTCAAATCACTGTTTAAGAATATATTTTTTTCCAAATAATGTGGATCAAACATGACCTTAGTCTTTATCTAGATTTTAGTCTTTATTTAGTTTTTAGTTATTACTTTAGCCCCCGTTTGGCTCTCATTACATTACATTTCATTTTTCCCTCTCTCCTATTTTCAATTACACAATGTTCCATAAAATAACATTACACGTAAACCGAAAATATTTTCTTTCTTTTTCAACCACTCATTTTTCAAAAAAAAAAAAACATTATTCCACCAATTTTCATTTCAAAAAATGGGGGCCAAACGAGGGCTTAAATAAGGGTTGTAAGCCTTAATAGCAATTGGTGGTTTTTGAATAAATATTATAGATTTTAGAAATTTCCAACCTCTTAAATTCTTGGTATTTGATATTTAAAATCAACGAGTTCAAATTCTCTGTATTTGTAAGCAAATCAAAGATTTTTTGATGCCTAGATTTGGTATTCCTTAGGAAACAAAAGAATTTCGTAGGGTGTTTGTTCGTTGTTTCTTTCACTTCTGCCCCTACATCATACCTCCAACTATGTGGGTGACGAACAATATCCCAACTTAGCAATTAAGAAACATGAGCTTCAATGCATGTATGTAGTAATGTTTATTTTCAATTAATTAAATGCCTTGTTTGGTTTAACTAGAAATACTGATTACTAGCCGTCAAATTCAATGTTAGCATTGCTAGTTACAGATTCTCTTCTTCTTCTATTTATTTATTCATTTTCTTTTGGCCCTACAAAAGTGCACATCCATTTTACTAGGTATATAGTGAGCAATGATGGATTTATATTCATCATATTGAATGAATATATTCTGATTAAGGCATAATATATATTTAGGAAATAGAAGAACCTTACACAAGTTGAATAATTAACCGAAGCTTGACCCCCGTCATGCAAATACTACATCAGATCGTAAGACATACTTAACACCTTTCCTGACATTTCGGGCTTCATGCAGCATGCACTTATCACCATGAATGTGAAATAGAGCCATCCCTTCAGTAGGGGGTACCTAGAGAATTTAGAAAATTCGAATAAGTAATAAATACAATCAGATGATACATTGATTATCAATTAAATTTAAAAATAATATCAAAAGAAAGTATAAATTTGGATCCTTAAGTGGTAAACAGAAATCTGGTTTGAGAGAGAGTGATGAGCAAAATATAGATAAAACCAAAATATTAAACGGACAGAGCAGTGAAATTCAAAAGAGTCTTTAACTTATTGAGCTAGGATTTAGTAATCATAAGAACTCACATTTACATTTACATTTACATTTACAATTTAACAACCTGCTTATTGTAAACCATGAGCGCCATAAGTTTTAAGAACTCAAATACTTCACTTGTTGAATAGATAGTTTTTCAAAACATGGAAGCAAAGTGAGCATGTAAAATATGAACTGTGGCAAGGTTAAAACAGGTAAATTAGATCAATTAGTTATCTAAAAATATAAGAATGACCTAGAGTGTTTGTTTGTTCATTCTTTTTTGCCTTTTTTCTTTTTCCAGAAGAGACAAAAGAGAGATTGGCATGTAGCATCAAAAGTGAGTAAGGATAGACCTCAGCCACCAGAGCATTTCTTGGGCCGTAGAAAACAGTCTCTCCTCCAACCAGAGTCTCAGCTAAAGAATCCTGGGAGTCAGCATCATTCTTAGACTTGAATTTAGTTCCACCTTGAGTACCACTAAGGTAGACTAACAGAGTATAGTGTGTACGCCTCCCTTCTCCTAGATCAACACTTTCATCAATGTGCCGTCCAAATCGCTGACCAGCAGTGTACCTAAAAAAAATAAAAAAATAAAAAATTTGAATGGGTTAATTAAAGGAAATCAACACCTGATGATACAGAAAAAAATACCAAGAACCATCCTTCTTCTTCACAACAATGTACAATGTTATAACAATAGTTAACGGTGTATTCCTCACAATGTATATACAAGTAATATAATGCCACAGACCTATAACATCGTATATTTGGGTTCAACCCAACTGCAACTTTGCCTCGAATCTTAATATCAGAAAATAAGTTTTTAAGCCCAGAGTTCCATATTGCATCGGCAAGAACTGGATCTTGTACAGCTATTCGATCATTGTCTCTATAAGCTTCTCCTTTTGTTGGACCAAGACTCCCTTGGTGAAGAAAACCAATTTCTTCTGCAACTTTAATGAATGCCTTCGACTCAACAGGTGTTAAGAAGTTTGGAATCTGAGTATTTACAACAAAATTCATGCAAAAAGAATAAGGAATCTAAATCAAACAAGTTTAAAAGAGCTAAATCAAGAGAGAGTAAAAAATAAATGAAGTTTTCAAAGTGTTTTATACCACTGCTCAATTTCAGCATTTATGGACCACAGTAACAACAACTAAAAACAAGCTAAGCCTCTGTTTGTCAATGATCGAAGCCTATTTGTGGTCCAATTAAGTTGAAATTTCCGTATGTTAGTCCTGGCGAAAAGAGCTATGTTTTGACTGGAGCTAATCGTCCAGATTCTTCTCCATTTCTCTGGGCAGTTTATACTCATTTAGTAAGATTTTCTCTCTATTATCTTGTGTATCCATTTTGGAATGATGTTGTTGATATCCAAGAACCATATGTGTTCTTGATGTATTGGTAGCCTCTAGAGTGTGTTCTAGAGAAAGTTAACTGTGTATTCCATTATTTTCATAGTGGATGGCCTTTTACTGGACTAGGTCCCAGGGTTTTTCCCTTCACGTTGAAGGGTTTCTCTAGTGAACAAATTCTTGTATTCTATTGTTAAATTTCCTACAAGTGTGTGTGAGTTACTGGAGTTGGATATTATTATTGCCACATTCTTTAATTTCTGCACAATAGTGGGATTGACATTATCTTCCGCTGCTGGTTTATTCCTGTTCAATCCCAACAATTCCAAATAATTTTGGAGTTGATTATATGGATCGTTCTTCACTCTTTTGCTCTGTTAATTGTTAAATACAAATCTATTGGGAGATCTAATAGATCTTAGCAATTACTATAGGCTTACTTGTTTTAATCTAGCCCCCCTGACTCTCTCAAGCAAAATCACGTCTCTCATGAAAAGAACCTATTTACATCAACGAAAAACATGACTCAACCACCCAAGAACAAACCTTAACATGTTCACATTTAATAAAAACATTCAAGCATGATAATGGGAGACAACAAAAGGAAATTCTCCCAACCATACTGAAACCCCTCCAACAAAATTGCCCTAACTCAGTAGTTATAAATTGGAAATCTTGTGCAAATTAATCATCTCTAGCTTTATCGAATTTGTATAAGCAAGCTCAGTCTCTATTATTTTTACTACCATCAAGAATTCATCCAGCTGTATCAACAAAATAGTCAGTTTAAATAATAGATTCATTGCAATAAAATTTCAAAAGAAAACTCATTAGACGAAAAACGTGATGGGTACATCTTAAATTCCTAAATTAAATAACATTTGGTTGAAATACCAAGACGAATACAAACCATTAACAGAAGATTAATATGGTCAATCATCAATAACCTATATCCCAGAAACCATAAATGTTAATTAATAAGAAAAATAGAGAAAAGAATGAAGAATTTAAGAAAAGGCACCATACAGTAAAAAGATCGTTGTCTTTTAAGCGATTGATTTGAAGATTATACTTGGGTTTGATGTAAGGCCAATCCGAATTCGATTTCTTCTTTGCATTATTCCCCGTTTTTTTTCTGTCCCCCATTTTTCTCTTCATATATTGGCAACTATTATTGTCAGCTTTATAAATTAAGGGCACTGATTTTGGGCGTTTATGCGCGTCCAATTTTGAATGTTGTCTAATAGCAATATAAAAATAAAGATGGTTCTGTATGCACCTTACAATTTATATATTTATGAGAAATTGGCGCAAAATGTTTCTACCTTTCAAGTGTGTTGTGAAAAATTCATACATTTCATTTTTTTGGCATGTTTGCCCCTATGTCTACCTTTCTTTGCATCCAACATTATTTTCACTGTTTTTTGGTGTAAAATGATCAATATGCCCTCCTATTTAAATAAGAGAAAAAAGAAAAGAAAGGTTCAAATACCCTCCCATAACTTCACATTCTTCCCACACCTCACCCCCACGCCACCATCACTTGTCAGTCATTTTCAGCCACCTTACAATCAGCTTGGCCGTCGGACCAACATACCCACTTGAAGCCCTTACTTCCCTCTTCACAACCCATCCAACCACTGGTCAGAAATTTAAAGAAATTGATCGAAAAATCGCGCCAAAATAGGCATGCAACTTTAACAGCAAAATTGACAAATTCAACTCCATTTTTCGACGCTGACGTCATGATCGATGACGGTGGACCACACCTCCTAGCACTGCCCCTTCAAGGAGAACCTAATGAACCTATAGATCATCGTCAATTTTAACCTGAAATTGTTGAATTAGGTGATTTCTTCAACAGCGAAATCGACAACTTCAAACACATTTTTCAGCTTTGGTGTAACGATCGACGATCGCGGACCATCCCTTCTAGCACAGCCTCTTCAAGGTGAACCTAATGAACCTATGGGTCATCGTCAATTTTGGCAAAAAGTAACCTCTATGGTTCATACAAAAAGAAACTCGACCAATCCCCTTTCAATTGATGATGCTACACGGCTTGAATCCACCAATTCTAGCATGTAATCGTCAATTAATGTTGTCACAACTATGGGTCCTCCATCAATTGCATCAATTCATCAATCAAACCATCAATTTTCAAGATTGAACTCAAGAATTACGGCCGAACGCGAACTCCGATTTTCTGGTTGTAGATTTTGATTTTCAGCTTTGTTTGATGATATGAAGACATCTATAGGAGCGCAATAAGGAGCATAATCGACCTAGAGGATGGATGTGCCATGCGTGTTATCGGAAATGGAGTTTGCATCCTCCATTTTTGGCCGTTTCATGCTGAGTGAGCAGCCTAATTTAGAGCAATTTTTCGGTCAATTCCTTTAGATTTTCGGCCAGTAGTTGGGTAGGTTGTGAAGAGGGAAGTAAGTGCTTCAAGTTGGTATATTGGTCCGATGGCCAAGCTGACTGGAAGGCGCAATAAGGAGCATAATCGACCTAGAGGATGGATGTGCCATGCGTGTTATCGGAAATGGAGTTTGCATCCTCCATTTTTGGCCCTTTCATGCTGAGTAAGCAGCCTAATTTAGAGCAATTTTTCGGTCAATTCCTTTAGATTTTCGGCCAGTAGTTGGGTAGGTTGTGAAGAGGGAAGTAAGTGCTTCAAGTTGGTTTATTGGTCCGATGGCCAAGCTGACTGGAAGATGGTTCAAAATGGTCAGCAAGTGACGGTGGCGTGGGGGTGAGGTGTGGGAAGAAGGTGAAGTTTGGGGGGAGGGGCGGAGGACATTTGCACTTTTTTAGAAGTTTCGCCTATAGTTGCAATTTTTTCTTTTCTTTTTTCTTTTATTTAAATAGGAGGACATATTGATCATTTTACACCAAAAAAACAGTTAAAAGGACGTTTGACGCAAAGAAATGTGGAAATAGGGGCAAAAATGCTAAAAAATGAAATGTATGAACGTTTTCCACAATACACTTGAAAGGTAGGGACGTTTTGCGCCAATTACCCTTTATTTATCAATGAAAGATGTGATGAGATTTGATTGTATTAAAATTGTTGCCTCAAAAAAATGTGCTAATAGAATTCAACTCACCTCTTCTCTTCTCTATATAGACATCAAATGCACACTCAAACTCCCCGTTGGGAGGCAAAAGTAATCGATTGAGAAAAAAATTCGACTATCATTTGCACTACGACTGTCAAGTCAACGATTAGATCAAAGATAATAAGTGCAAAAGTCCGACTACCATTTTCCTACTTTTTAACCACAAATTCTCCAAAGATTCACTATTCAAAACAAAGTTTTTGCCAAATAATTGCTATTGATTAGATGTTAAATAAGTCCAATCCGATCAAATAATCAATATCAAGCGGAACAATGTGGGACTCTCTTCATCACATGCATGCCACGTAATTTTAAAGATATAACAACCGTCTCTCAAGTTTAAGTCGTATATTTATATATAAGGCGAACTTAAAATATAAGTTGTTGAGTATGTGAGTTCTTACAAAGTGCCTCATAAATTTGAGCAGTCCCAATAAATATAAGTTAGTCCAATAAACAAGGGTTTACGAATTGTTTCAAAAATATCTGTGTGAGCCTAAAAGATAGATATCGCATATAATTTGTCAAAATTTCGACAGACTAAACCAACATATAATATAACATAATACCTCCACTGCACAGATACAAAGTAAATTGAGATCCATTTGACCCCTCCGAATACTCATGAGGATAGCGTAAAATAATATTAAATTAAACTTCTCCAAGATAAAATATGCAGGAACCTATCATGTATTATAACAGATGATATATTGTCGATAATGAAATGAAATATAGATAACGTAGAATATGTACTAACTATAATGAAAATAATGTTATGACATGCTAACAATGATGTGACATGTGTGTATATATATAATGTAATAATACTAAGATATTAGTATCACAATAGTCCCCCTAATTCCAAGTAGGAATATTCATATAATACTTGGACTTTTGATAAGGATGATGCTCCAAAGATAGATAACTGGGATGAAGCTGATGCAAAGATGAGATTCTGGATATAAGCAGCTGAAACAATACTTTAGACATAAGTAGCAAAGGCGACGCTCTGAACATATAAATAGCAAAGGCAATGCTTTTAATATAAGTTATAGAAGCGATTCTCTAGACATAAGTAGCAAAAGCGATGCTCTGGATGTAAGTAGCACAAGCGATGCTCTGAATGTATAAGTAGCAGAGACAATGCTCTGAACATAAATTGCAAAGGCAATGCTCTACATGCATGCAACTATGATAAGCTAAAACGGACTCTGAACTGAATATAACTAGTTGTACTGATACTGATGCAAGGTAAGACTTTAAAATGAATATAAATAGATGTACCGTTACCGATACAGAGGCAGACTTTGAATTGAATATAACCAGTTGTACTGGTATTGATACGGAGTAGACTCTAAATATATAGGTCGGCTTCGTAGTTTTCAAGGGGGGCTTCCGTTAGGATGCTTCATCCCTGTCCTACCAAAGTGATATATGACATTCTTACGTGGTGGATGATTCATCCATGGATGGATTCATCTTTGTAGGTAAAAAAGTGGGCCACCCATTTCCTTTATGGTGAATAGTTTATCCATGCAAGAGATAATGTAAGCTCTCTGAAAATAGGTTAAGCTGTGTCATAGCTAAAGTAGAAACAGTGCTCTTAAAGATAGGCAGCTATGAAGTTATGATATAGCTAATGCAGATGCATACTGAGCTCTCTGCTATATTCCTACATTGCAAGGCATCTCTAAGACCAAAGAATAAACATCAGGCCAGTGGCTCATTTTGAACTATTGAAGACTTCTAACCTAGCCTCAAAATGACGAGGTCCTATAGTTTTGCTCGACGATAGAGAGAATCTCGAATTGGAAGCATAGGCACAATCATCTCGCATGGCGGCTCATCTCGAAGTGAGGAATAAATATTGAGCTGATGTATTGAATTATTAGAGACTGATAATCTGGCCTCGAATGAAAGAGTTCTTATAGCTATGCTCGATGATATTGATGTCAGTTTGATGCCCTAGATCCAAATGATTTAGGTTGTAAACATTTTTAATATGTTTAATTCATTTATTTTTGGCAAAATATATTAATTATTTAAATCAATATTTTGATGAATAATATTAAGTAATAAAGTCCATAGATTCAAGTTTCAATAATTTGTTAATCACAAAGAGTTGTAATTGTGAGATACAAATAACGTATGATTGGATCTTGAATAATCTATGGTCATAAGTAATAAGGAGATACTGACATTGTTATTACAAATACACCACCATGTGTCGTATTTCTTACTTGTGAAGTAAGTAGCTAATCTTACAAGTTAAAGTGTGGTGACATTTAAATGAACACATGATGTTTTGTTATAGAACAAAACATTGGAGACTCACCGAGAGATTCCACAAGGATAATTATCTGAGTATCAGTGGTTAGTCTCTAATATTCGGTAGTGAAATTGGTCATTTGATTTGAGATCATCATAGTGCCTTATATGAGGACAATCATACTTTGGAAGTATTGGATGTTGCTCTGCCAATAGCTACTAATATTATATCATTCGGGTATGTCAATAATCTTATAAAGGTTGTGAATGACCAATAGATGATTCGTAACTGTTAGATAATAAGAGATTATAATCTACATTTCATTCAATTAAGTTAATAACGAAATCTTTGGCCAAGGTATATTCAAAAAGCGAAAAGGAGTTTTCCACTTATATTGACTTAATAGTGGAACGAAAGATATGATCAATAATCAGGATTGACACACTTCTCGTAATTGATCGGATCATATTGACAAAATGATTATAATTTCACGGTAAACGAATGAATTTGATTTTGTCATACCACGTGACATTTCTCGTCACATGTATTGCTCTGACACATTGTAAGATCTTAATTTGAGATAGCAAATGTAAATTTGTGATAAATTAAAAGGGTGTTTTAATTTATCAATTTTGATTAGATCAAAATAATAATTTGCATTGTTAGACATCGTGATTAGGGAACCTAATGGGTCACATATAAGAGGGGAACTAGAATGTTGTGATTTGTAATTTAATTAATTTAACAAGCATTGGATAAATAAATTAATTGATTGCTTAATTATAAGCCCGAATTAGTTAATCGAATTAATTAATTCACGGATTG